AAATTCAATGGAAAACATCAGCTCAACTCATATCATTTGTGGGAAAATTCGACTACCAGTCCTTCATCACTTTACACGAAATAGGGTGAATACATCTCATTTCTTCAGTCCAGATGGACACTTGCTGGCCTCTTCTCGTCAGTCCTGTCAGCTGATGGCCGTCGGCATTCCTTCGGTCAAGACAGCCGACAAATCGCCCAGCTCGTGGACATGCATTTTTGTGCCATTTTGTGCGGTTTGGGCGCATTTCGCGGTAGTTAGGCCAGTCAACATACAAGCGGAATTCCAGATTTTCGTGTCACTTAAGCCGAACACATTCCTCCAAACCCCACGAAACTTCTCGGCGTTAGAGCACATAGAAAAACGTGCAATTACTCGCACGTTAGTGATGAAAAGACGACAGTTATGCGCGTTCTCCCGAAATCCAAAGGAGATCATCTCTTCGAGGACAGTGTCAACCAGGTCGCAGAAATGTCTTTTGGCGCGATTGATCGTCAACTCTCTTTGCACGCACGCACGCACGCACACGCACAACTTCACTCGAAATGGACGGGGCCTTGCTAAATAAAACACTGAAATAATTCCTCTAAATCCCAATTTTTCGTGGACTTCTGTCCATAAAAACTTGATTTCTGCACCTTCATGTGCTTCATGGTGCCTGGCTGTTTGGAGGCTTCATTCGTTCAGTTGAAATGGCTGTAAGTATGCTCACTGTGCGCGATTTGACAGACAACAGCGCGGATTACAAGTTCCCAGAACGTTGACAGCCGAACTCACTGGGCCAATAGAAATGTGGCGTCGTCTTGTGGTCGTATCGATCTGGGCTAATCTTTGCATGACACACCGCCACTCGAAATGGAGGCCAGCTTAACTTGCACACCACCGGCGGCAGTCTCGGCTGCCGTCGGCTTCGCAATTTGGTCATTTGCGCGTCCATCGGCGCCTCGAGCGCATTCAAGGCGTGACTTGTCGACTTGTCAAAAATGCCTCCGATTATGCCCTCCGAAGCACAGTTCGACTCGAACAGGCTCGCCGGCCCGGCAAGCCGAGAAGCAGTGCTCGCATCGATCGACAATGCTCGAGCTTCAAACGGACCAAGCCAGCCTGAGCTGCGACTGCGACTGCGACTGCGAGCGCGCCTGCGTGAGTACTTGTCCGCTTGCCTGCGCACGTGCATGCATGCGCCACCTTCAGTTCATCAAGACGGCCCCTGGAGTGAGAGCGCACGTGTGCGTGCGATTGCCTGTTGCATAAGCAGACAGGCCACAATCGATACGCACCGGCCTGCCCAAGTTACGCTTCATGGAAGGCGCGATCACAATGTCCGAGAATCAGATTACGCAAGCGCCGAGCCCCAGCCCGTCAGCCTATTTGATAGATAGACGCCCGGGCAAGGTGATAAGATCGGCGGCGCCAGCTCGCCACGTCTGACGTGGCCGCCTTACGTGGCGGAGCCTCGCCTGCCCCATTGCCTTCTGGTATTTGCCCTGGCAACAGCGATGCAATCGCGTGAAAGTGGACGCGACGATTTGGCGCCAATCACTTCCGGTTCTCGGTCCAGTCACAACAGACAAGCGAGCCTCATCACTCGAGTCTGTCCATCTCTGCGTCTGTCTGTGCTGTTTACTCTGGCTGACTTGTCGAGCACCAACTTTCGCGTTTCTCCTCCAATCATGCGTGTCTTTGCGCGCGTACGTCTGCCCAGTTGGTAGGTCATGGTTCGTCTAATTGTTTGAGTCGAGAGGGGGCGATCGATAATTTGTTTTCAAATTGTGCCATTCTCAAATGGCGTTCTTATAAGTCGTCCTACCGACATAAGCAAGTTGCGAAAACAAGGTCAAACAACTTCTTGAAACAACGAAAGGAGACTGCGACCACACAAAAGGCCACACCATCTTGGTCTTCATACCTTAAATTATATTATTTCCAAGAGAGTCGCTGAATAGTTTATTATTACAGCTGTATCCACATAGGCAGTTAAAAGTTATACACAATGTGTTGCATGTATGCTAGTGAATTATTTTTATGATAAATACGATACCATAATGCTACGAGTGTGAGATATGGATTTTTAGCTTCACTTGTTGCTACTACGCATTAGAGCGCTCATTTATATATGATTAGCTTTATATACCAGAAATCTTGCTCTATGATTTTAACTCGTTAGCTACTACAATTCATCGTGGTTTGATGCTATATGCTTAACACCATCTATTTTATTTGCATATACCTTTAAAATGCTAAAACAATTGGCACATG